GAGTTCACTTCAGTCAAACAAGGCACCAGGAGACGATGGTTCCACCTGAATTTGATAAAGAATTTAAGGACCTGCTTGTTCCATTGAGTTTGGATGTGACAAATTTAGTGTCAAAAACACATACACTCCTGTAGTCCTTTACAACAGCTACAATCACAGTAATACATAAGAAAAACAAAGACCCACTGAAATGTGCCTCTTTTAGGCCAATATCATCACTGAAGACAGACGACAAACTGATTTCAAACAGACTCAGTCAAGTACGACCAAAAATAATGAATCCAGACCAGTTTGGCTTTGTTCAGAAGCGAATATCCACAAATAATTTAAGCAGGTTTTTTAACATAATTCATCTGGTAAAAACCAGGTCTGATCCTACTGCAGCGGCGGCGCTGGACGCAGAGAAGCTTTGACAGGCTAGAATGGCCTGATTTATTCAACGTTTTGACAAAATTTGGATTTGGAAAACATTTTCCTGACTGGGTGAGAACTCTGTACTATAAACCAAAGGCGAGGACAACTGCTAACGGGCTGATGTCTGCGTCGTTCCCACTAAACAGGTCAAGTCGTCAGGGCTGATCCACTGTCTCCTGGGCTTTTTGTATTGGCTGTTGAGCCGTTGGCAGAGGCGATTAGACACGACCAAATATAAAAGGCTTTATGGTTGGTGACGCGGCTCATAAAATCAATCTATTGGCTGATGATGTAATCCTATATATATCAGATCCTTCTCCATCCCTTATTAGACTGTAAAACTTACTGAGTCCATACGGCTCTGTGTCTGGATATAAGATCAACTATGAGAAAAGCGACATTATTCCATTAACAAAATTCAATTCTTCTCAGTGTGGAGGCGTCTCATTCAAACGGACTCCAACAGGGATAACAGATCTTGGTTACATTTGGATGGCAAGTTAAAAAATCTGTTTAAGTTAAATTCTGCTGCGCTGGAGAAAAGGATTGAAGAAAACCTGCATAAATGGGCCAATCTTCCTCTCACTCTGACTGGGAGGATTAACTGCATTAAAATGAACATTTAGCCAAGGCTGCAGGATCTGTTTCAGTCACTTCCAGTAGCTCAACCACAAACATTCTTTAAAGCACTTGACAAAACTGTGAGGCGCTTCATTTGGAATGGGAAAGTGGCAAGAAGGTCTTTAGAAATATTGACATGGAACTATGAGTCAGGAGGACTTCAATTACCCAGTTTTAAAAAATACTACCTCACAGCCCAGATGTGATTTATCTTCTCTGTGTTTGACGGGAGGCGTCTCCATCCTGGGTTCATATTGCATTTCATTCTCTGAGAGAAGATGCTTTTCATGATTTTGTTTACAAATATAATTCCAAAGTGTCAAAAAAGACTGACAATCCTGTTCTCCTCCACCTTCTAAAGTTATGGAACGACACAAGACTGTTGGCCAAAATCACCACTGAGACAAAACAATCTGATCCCATTGACTGGAAACAACAAGATCTTGGAATTGTGGCACCAAAATGGTCTTCATATATTGGAGGACTGTTTTGAAAAAGGATTATTAATGTCCTTTGAAAAACTAAAAGAAAAATACATCTTACCAAATAATACATTCTTTTGTTACCTGCAACTACGATCGTTTTATTACTAGTAAACTGGGCCGTACTATATTATTGCCCAAACTTACAGCATTTGAAAGGTTGTTACACGATGTTGGACCTTATACATTTATTTCTAAGATGTAAACTTTGTTGATAAATGAATGTCCTAAACCAGCCTTGTATTGATCTGAGGAGGTGGGAGTCAGACTTAAACACCACAGTTGAAGATAAAATCTGGTCGAATTTATGTCGAGAGTTTATCTGCCACCACCAACGCTCCGATATAAACTTATACATTATCATTTCCTTCATCACTTATATCTAACCCCAGAAAAAAATCATAAGACAAAAAAAGATTTTTCTGATCAATGTTTCCGATGTTCTGTAGAACTGGGCTCATTTTTGCCTTGTACCTGAACATGTGTCAAAGGAAAAAGTTCTTGGTTTGACTTTTGCTGAGCCTTTTCCACAATCACAAAAACTTCAATACCTCTTGATCCTGAATTTTTCCTACTTGGACATTTTGAGAAAATTGAATCAATAAATAAATACAAAATAAAATTTTTTGAAATTTCATTGGCAGTGGCAAGAAAATGCACTGCAGTCACCTGGAAGTCTGACCCCCCATTACAAGACGGAAATGAACAACTGTGTGTTTGGAAAAGACACTTTTAGCCTCAGAAAAGCTGACAACACGTTTGTTAGAACATGTGTAATGTCCTGACGTGGATTATGTGAATGTCGCCTCCACTGACGTCTGTGTGTCTGTGTGTCTGTGTGTCTGTGTGTCTGTGTGTCTGTGTGTCTGTGTCTGTCTGTGTCTGTGTGTCTGTGTGTCTGTGTGTCTGTGTGTCTGTGTGTGTGTCTGTGTGTCTATGTGTCTGTGTGTCTGTGTGTCTGTGTGTCTGTGTGTCTGTGTGTCTGTGTCTGTGTGTCTGTGTGTCTGTGTGTCTGTGTGTCTGTGTGTCTGTGTGTCTGTGTGTCTGTGTGTCTGTGTGTCTGTGTGTCTGTGTGAACTGTTGAAACGTGTGACTGTGTGAAGCATCTTCCCTTTTTTTTTTTTCTGTGGGGGAGCGGGGAGGGTGTGGGGTTTTTGTCGTTCAACTATGTGTTTTGTTGTGTATAACTCAAACAAAATGCAAAAATAAAATATTGCAAAAAAAAATAATGTTATAATAAATAAACCGAGTCATTTACATTTATGAACTAAACTTAAAATAGTCCAAAATAAAACAGCGTGTGTAAAAAAGTAAAAAAAAATAATAAAACAGATTAAACTGCGCGTGTAATTCTTAGTTTTGCCACAAGATGGAGCCCTGGTCCCGGGCTGAGTTCTGTGGTTTTGTTTTTTTCTAGAAGGAATTTTACAGTTTAGAATTTTTAAAGTTTAAACACAAAACCACAAACTGATGAAAAACAAACAGAGAAACATCGAGTTTAAATGTTGAATTTCAGGCTCCTGTGAAAATAAACATGATCATTATGTGAGTCCACGTGGTTCTGGTTCAGTCCCGGTTCTGGTTTTGTTTAGTTTAGTTTGGGTTTTGGGTTTTGGGTTTTGGGTTTTGGGTTCGCTCTGTCGCTGCGGGTCTGACGCGGTTCTGACGCGGTTCTGACGCGGGGCCGAAGCAGGTCAGGATTAACGGGATTATCTGAAGTCTCCTCGTGGCTCCGGGGCACCTGGTCTGGGCCAGAGTCCGGCCTGGAGGTTCGGACGCGGTTCTGACGCGGTTCTGAAGCGTCTGGAGCGGTGAATGAAAGGTCCAGGCGCGGTTCTGATGCGTTTCTGGATCGTTTCTGCAGCGGACTGAAGCGACACTGTCCTGGAGCTGCGCAGGTGAAACGCGACGCGACGCTTCAGTGGCGCTAAACCAGGACTAAACCAGAACTAAACCAGGACTAAACCAGAACTAAACCAGGACTAAACCAGGACTAAACCAGGACTAAACCAGGACTAAACCAGAACTAAACCAGGACTAAACCAGGACTAAACCAGGACTAAACCAGAACTAAACCAGGACTAAACCAGGACTAAACCAGGACTAAACCAGAACTAAACCAGGAACTAAACCAGAACTAAACCAGGACTAAACCAGGACTAAACCAGGACTAAACCAGAACTAAACCAGACTAAACCAGACTAAACCAGAACTAAACAGGACTAAACCAGACTAAACCAGAACTAAACCAGGACTAAACTAAACCAGAACTAAACCAGGACTAAACCAGGACTAAACCAGAACTAAACCAGAACTAAACCAGGACTAAACCAGGAACTAAACCAGAACTAAACCAGAACTAAACCAGGACTAAACCAGAACTAAACCAGGACTAAACCAGGACTAAACCAGGACTAAACCAGAACTAAACCAGAACTAAACCAGACTAAACCAGAACTAAACTACTAAACCAGGACTAAACCAGAACTAACCAGGAACTAAACCAGGACTAAACCAGACTAAACCAGAACTAAACCAGAACTAAACCAGGACTAAACCAGAACTAAAACCAGGACTAAACCAGGACTAAACCAGAACTAAACCAGGACTAACCAGAACTAAACCAGAACTAAACCAGGACTAAACCAGAACTAAACCAGACTAAACCAGGATTATAACAGGACTAAACCAGGACTAAACCAGAACTAAACCAGGACTAAACCAGGACTATAACAGGACTAAACCAGGACTAAACCAGGACTATAACAGGACTAAACCAGGATTATAACAGGACTAAACCAGGACTAAACCAGGATTATAACAGGACTAAACCAGAACTAAACCAGGACTAAAACAGGACTAAACCAGGACTAAACCAGGACTACTAACCAGGACTAAAAAGGACTAAACCAGGATTACTAACCAGGACTAAACCAGGACTAAACCAGGACTAAACCAGAACTAAACCAGAACTAAACCAGGACTAAACCAGAACTAAACCAGGACTAAACCAGGACTAAACCAGGACTAACAACTAAACCAGGACTAAACCAGAACTAAACCAGACTAAACCAGGACTAAACAGGACTAAACCAGGACTAAACCAGGACTAAACCAGAACTAAACCAGGACTAAACCAGACTAAACCAGGACTAAACCCGGACTAAACAAAGTTTGTTAATTTTTTGTATTTTTATCTTTTGTTCTTTTGTTTTTAAAGACTTTGTCCCTGATTTTTCTCGTGGTTCTGACGCGTTTCAGACGCGGCTCTGAAGCGCCAGGTGCGGTGACTTCGCCTGACCCGCGCCGTTCCGGACCGTGCCCTCCCGTGCCCTCCCCGTGCCCCCCTCCCCGTGCCCCCGCCTCTCCCCGGAGTGTCCTCTTCCCTCATTGGATCAGATTTGTTTTGGTTTTGTTTTTTTTCCTCTCCTCGGCCGCTGATTGGTCGCGTTTTAGGTCCGGTTTCCACGCGTGTCGTCCGCGATGCCACTGCTGCCTCGCGACGCGGACCGCTTCGATGGACTGTCCCTGCTCTACTGGTGAGTCCGACCCGAGCCGACCCGAGCCGACCCGAGCCGAACCGACCCGAGCCGCCGACCGACCCGACCCGACCCGAGCCGACCCGACCCGAGCCGAACCGAACCGAACCGGGACAAACACGGGGAGAGACCGGGATTAAGAGAGGATTAAAGCAGAGTCTTAAACCAGGACTAAACCAGGACTAAACCAAGTCTAGACCAGGACTAAAGCAAGTCTAAACCAGGACTAGACCAGGACTAGACCAGGTCTAGACCAGGACTAGACCAGGTCTGTACATGTCAGGTTCAGTTTTCTGTGTTTGTTCTGGTTTTATTAAAGATACACTGTGTAACTTTTCGGCTGGAGGCTCCGTCAAACACTTTTCTCTGTGAAGATGTTGTTGTTTTGTCTGGAATATTTCACAGTATGACTTTAAATCTTTCTGTATCCATGGAGACCAAACCAGACTAGTTCCCGGTCAGCTCTGTGGAGAGGCGACCGCGCTCACAGTCACATGTCGTTTTTATCTGTAAAATCACCTGTAACTGTTTAAAGTCGCACTGTGGAACATTCCAGGCAGAGCAAGGACGTATCCATGGAAACGAACAGGTGACTGAGCCTCAAGTAAAAAGTCACACAGCACAGCTTTAACGCTGAAAGGTCATACAGAGGTTTAAGGTGGACTGTTTAAGGTGGACTGTGTGTGTTTAAGGTGGACTGTTTAAGGTGGACTGTGTGTGTTTAAGGTGGACTGTGTGTGTTTAAGGTGGACTGTTTAAGGTGGACTGTGTGTGTTTAAGGTGGACTGTGTGTGTTTAAGGTGGACTGTTTAAGGTGGACTGTGTGTGTTTAAGGTGGACTGTTTAAGGTGGACTGTGTGTGTTTTAAGGTGGACTGTTTAAGGTGGACTGTGTGTGTTTAAGGTGGACTGTGTGTGTTTAAGGTGGACTGTGTGTGTTTAAGGTGGACTGTTTAAGGTGGACTGTGTGTGGTTTAAGGTGGACTGTGTGTGTTTAAGGTGGACTGTGTGTGTTTAAGGTGGACTGTGGTCTGAGGCGGTGCAGCTGTGAGTCCAGATGTCGAGACTCTGCACATCTGGGTCAGAATTATCAAAGAAATTTGGCACAGTTCAGATCACACATGAAAACAAGGACCAAAACTGGACCAAAAACTGGACTAGTCCTGGTTCAGTCCTGGTTCAGTCCTGGTTCAGTCCTGGTTCAGTCCTGGTTCAGTCCTGGTTTAGTCCTGGTTCAGATGGGGGTATTATTTTGGGATAAACCTCGTGTTTAGAGGCTTTGATTGATCCAGGTCTGGTCTTCTCAGTCCGGTTACGATCCAGGTCTGAGCTGGATCCTGGTCCGGTCTCTGAGGTGTGGGCGGAGCTAAAGGTGAAGCGCCCAAACGAACCAAAACAAACGTGTTTGGTGTCAGTTCTGCTGTGGTGACACTTCAAAAAAATCAGATTCAAATATTCAGTTCAATCAGTTCAAGTTCAGTTCATTTTTATTCCAGACTCATGGACATTTTCAAAACAGACGAGGACAAAACAAACAAAACAACAAACATTTATGTTTTTAAAAACGGTCACACCAGAGCCTCCACAGAGTCTCAGATTTGTGAGTGACTTTATTATTTCATCGTCTGATTTGTTCCGTCTGCAGATAAAACTGAACATTATAATTATTCTAAGTGCAGCTGCAGAGTTTTCACTTGTGCCGTAACAAACATCTCAGTCTGAGCAAACCACTGCCTTTCCATGTCATTCCAGCCTCCAAGCCTCCACTGTGCCTCACTGTGAGGCCTCCGCCTCCAGCCTCCAGCCTCCGCTCCACCTCCAGCCTCCGCTCCACCTCCACCTCCGCCTCCGCCTCCACCCGCCTCCGCTCCACCTCCACTCTGCCTCCGCCTCCGCCTCTCGCCTCCGCCTCCGCTCCACCTCCACTCCGCCTCCGCCTCCGCTCAGCCTCCGCCTCCGCTCTGCCTCCGCCTCCGCTCCGCCTCCGCCTCCGCCTCCGCCTCTCGCCTCCGCCTCCACCTCCGCTCCACCTCCAGCCTCCGCCTCCGCCTCCGCCTCCGCCTCCGCTCCACTCCGCCTCCGCTCTGCCTCCACCTCCACTCTGCCTCCGCCTCCGCTCCGCCTCCGCCTCCGCTCGGCTCCGCCTCCACTCAGCCTCCGCTCGTTTCTCTCTGAGGAGGATTAAACCTGGATCTGACACATGACACAGAACCAGTTTATTTAAGACCACAGACGTCCTGAGCCAAGGGTAGATCAAGAAGAGCTTCAGACACACACACACACACAGACACACACACACACACACACAGACACACACACAGACACACACACAGACACACACACACACACACACACACACACAGACACACACACACACACACACACACACACAGACACACACACACACACACACACACACACACACACACACACACACACAGACACACACACACACACACACACACACACACACACACACACACACAGACACACACACACACACACACACACACACAGACACACACACACACACACACACACACACACACACACACACACACACACACAGACACACACACACACACACAGACACACACACACACACACACACACACACACACACACACACACAGCACACACACACACACACACACACACACACACACACACACAGACACACACACACACACACACACACAGACACACACACACACACACACACACACACACACACACACACAGACACACACACACACACACACACACACACACAGACACACACACACACACACACACACACACACACACACACACACACACACACACACACACACACACACACACACACACACACACACACACACACACACTCACACACACACGTGGAGTCTGATTCTGTCTGTGAGTCGTCCTCTGTGAAGGTGCAGCCGCTCTGAGGATTAACACAGATTAAACACCAGAACTAAACCAGAACTAAACCAGAACTAAACCAGGACTAAACCAGGACTAAACCAGAACTAAACCAGAACTAAACCAGGACTAAACCAGAACTAAACCAGAACTAAACCAGGACTAAACCAGGACTAAACCAGAACTAAACCAGGACTAAACCAGGACTAAACAGAACTAAACCAGGACTAAACCAGGACTAAACCAGAACTAAACAGACTAAACCAGGACTAAACCAGAACTAAACCAGGACTAAACCAGGACTAAACCAGAACTAAACCAGGACTAAACCAGGACTAAACCAGAACTAAACCAGGACTAAACCAGGACTAAACCAGAACTAAACCAGAACTAAACCAGGACTAAACCAGGACTAAACCAGGAACTAAACCAGGACTAAACCAGGACTAAACCAGAACTAAACCAGAACTAAACCAGGACTAAACCAGAACTAAACCAGGACTTAAACCAGGACTAAACCAGAACTAAACCAGGACTAAACCAGGACTAAACCAGAACTAAACCAGAACTAAACCAGGACTAAACCAGAACTAAAAAAGGACTAAACCAGGACTAAACCAGAACTAAACCAAGACTAAACCAGGACTAAACCAGGACTAAACCAGAACTAAACCAGGACTAAACCAGACTAAACCAGACTAAACCAGAACTAAACCAGGACTAAACCAGGACTAAACCAGAACTAAACCAGAACTAAACCAGAACTAAACCAGGAGGTGTGTGCCTATGTGTGTGTGTGTGTGTGTGTGTGTGTGTGTGTGTGTGTGTCTGTGTGTGTGTGTGTGTTTCTTCTTCAGTTTGAGGATTAAACGTGTGAAATGTGACTCTCACTTTTTCAATTCAGTTTGTGAAAAAAAAGTTAAAACTAAAAATAGAAAAGTCCAGGAAGTCGTGAAGCCGAATCCCTCTGCCCGTCGACAACAAACCACAACTTTTCTGACACTTTATTCAGGAAAATGTCAGATGGCGATGTTTTTGACTCTTGTTAAAGCCACAGTGTGTAACTTTTTACCCTAAAATAGACAAAAACATGTTTGTTTCATATTGGTGAAAAACACAGAAATATCCTCAGTGACTGTCAGGGGGCTCGCATCTCCACAAACCTGACTCTTGTTTGACTTATCTCCATGGAAATGTTGTTCCTTGACTATAAAGTTCCACAGTGTGACATAAATCTGTTCAGGTTGAATGTTCCAAAGTGTGGCTTTAGTTTTCTGTTCATCGAGCTGATGAAACCTCAAGATCTTTCAACTCAATTCAAGTTTATTTCTATAAAACATTAAAAACAACTTCAGCTGAACAAAGAGTTTCACACAAGTCGACAAAAACAGAAGAAACATTTACACATTTACAGAAAACATGTGAAATAAAAACACCACGATCAGCGTGAACAGCTCGAACTGAACACAGGCAGAAGAGGTGAAGACCTGACGAAGTTCTCAACATGAACCCAACATGTGTCCTGATGTTTTCAGTTTGTGTCTTTGGCTCATGGGACAAAAATCATTTTCTCGTTCACGTTTCCTTCCTGACTCGGGGCCAAGCTCCTCCCACCTGAGTGACGTCTGGAACCTGCACCACGTGGAGCGTTTGGACCAATCAGAGCCAGAGCTGCTGGAGCGGAGCGAGAACGACTCAGTGACGAGGCTCAGTCGGACAAAGATCAGTTTTAGAACAGATTTAAATAAAAAAAGTCCAACTGGAAAGTCACATTTTAAACACAAAAGTTATAAAACTGATTTTTCGCAGAATTCAGTGAGTCATGTTTCAGTGGAAGATCAAAGTTAAAGTTAAAGTGGTGTCTGTTTCTTCCTGTGGTTTCATTTTGGTGTCACTGATGGTAATAAAAGGTTTGTGTGTTTGAGGATGATGATGGGGCCTCACGGCGTCTCTCGGACCGTCCACAGACTCCAGTTCAGCGACTGCAGGAAAGGACTCGGTCAGAACACGTTTCACTTTATATTTATTTATTTCTACAACAATATTTATCATGTGTAGTTTTATATTTTTATGTTTAAAGTGCCCGTATGACACAAACACAAAAACACAAACCTGCAGATTTAGGCTCAGTTCTTTTCTCTGCAGATTCACCTTTTCCACATCGTCTCAAGTGTCTCGCTGGTTTGTGGAACTTCTGGTGTTCTGACCTCAGGCCTTAGATTGTCATTTGTTTCGTGTTTTCTAAATGATTGTGCTGACTCACCTGGATTCCTGCTGTGGGAGCCCTGGTTTGTGATTGGTGGAGCAGGTCGACGCCCACCTCACCTGCAGACTCCGCCCCCTGTTTAAGAAGACGACCTGCACCTGATCGAGGCTGTGGACTTGGTGGCCACTCTGACAGTTTGTGTTTGTGTTTAGTTTAGTTTAGTTAGTTTAGTTAGTTTAGTTTAGTTTAGTTTAGTTTAGTTTAGTTTAGTTTAGTTAGTTTAGTTTAGTTTAGTTTAGTTTAGTTTAGTTTAGTTTAGTTTAGTTAGTTTAGTTTAGTTTAGTTTAGTTTAGTTTAGTTTAGTTTAGTTTAGTTTAGTTTAGTTTAGTTTAGTTTAGTTTAGTTTAGTTTAGTTAGTTTAGTTAGTTAGTTTAGTTTAGTTAGTTTAGTTTAGTTAGTTTAGTTAGTTTAGTTAGTTTAGTTTAGTTAGTTTAGTTAGTTTAGTTTAGTTTAGTTTAGTTTAGTTTAGTTTAGTTTAGTTTAGTTTAGTTTAGTTTAGTTTAGTTTAGTTTAGTTTAGTTTAGTTTAGTTTAGTTTAGTTTAGTTAGTTTAGTTTAGTTTAGTTTAGTTTAGTTAGTTTAGTTTAGTTTAGTTTAGTTTAGTTTAGTTTAGTTTAGTTTAGTTTAGTTAGTTTAGTTTAGTTTAGTTTAGTTTTAGTTTAGTTTAGTTTAGTTTAGTTTAGTTTAGTTTAGTTTAGTTTAGTTAGTTTAGTTTAGTTTAGTTTAGTTTAGTTTAGTTTAGTTTAGTTTAGTTTAGTTTAGTTTAGTTTAGTTTAGTTAGTTTAGTTAGTAGTTTAGTTTAGTTTAGTTTAGTTTAGTTTAGTTTAGTTTAGTTTAGTTAGTTTAGTTAGTTTAGTTTAGTTTAGTTAGTTTAGTTAGTTTAGTTTAGTTAGTTTAGTTTAGTTTAGTTAGTTTAGTTTAGTTTAGTTTAGTTAGTTTAGTTTAGTTTAATTAGTTTAGTTTAGTCTAGTTAGTTTAGTTTAGTTTAGTTTAGTTTAATTAGTTTAGTTTAGTTTAGTCTAGTTTACTTCTCTTTTGTGCCTTTTTTGATTTTTTCACTTGATTCTGTTTGTGGTTTTTGTGGTTTAATTTGGGGAACTTGTGTTTTAGTTTCGTGTTTGTCTCTTTGTTTTGTGTAAACCTGCGTGACCCTTTTGTGGCACAAAACTCAGTTTATTCTTAGTTTAGGTTATTTTCTGTATATTTTAGTCTGTTTTGTTCATTTCCCTTTACATTCCTGTTAATTAAACATTATTTAATATATTATTTTTGTTACTTCCCTGTCCCCACTGGAGCTGGGTCGTTACACTGGTTAATGGGTTTTCTGTGTAAATGAAGTTCCAGAAGTTGCACAAACCTACAGCGGGACACTTGAGACGCTGTGGAAAAGCTCTTGTCTGCAGAGAAAAGATCTCTGCCTAGCAACAGGTTTGATTGACAGCGTTGCTCAGTGCAGGTGGAGAAAAGCCTCGCTCCTGATTGGCTCTTCGGTTTTGCGCTCAGATTACCAAATTGTTACGGTTCCTAGATGCATTCGGCCTCGATGAGCTTCATTTGACTGCGGGAGGGCATCTGACACAAACGGGAGCGAGACAGTAAAGACAAACATGATCATGAGACTTTTGGTTTCCAGGAGTGAAGATCATCGGAGGATTCAGGGAGCAGACGGGAGAAGACTTCGGAATCTACGTCAAGAGAGTCGTGTCCGGAGGACTGGCCTTTGTGGACGGTACTGAACCAGGACTAAACCAGGACTAAACCAGGACTAAACCAGGACTAAACCAGGACTAAACCAGGACTAAACCAGGACTAAACCAGGACTAAACCAGGAACCAGGACTAAACCAGGAACCAGGACTAAACCAGGACTAAACCAGGACTAAACCAGGACTAAACCAGGACTAAACCAGGACTAAACCAGGACTAAACCAGGACTAAACCAGGACTAAACCAGGACTAAACCAGGACTAAACCAGGACTAAACCAGGACTAAACCAGGACTGAACCAGGACTAAACCAGGTCTAAACCAGGTCTAAACCAGGACTGAACCAGGACTAAACCAGGACTGAACCAGGACTGAACCAGATCTAAACCAGGTCTGTGTTTCAGGTCGGTTGAGGTCTGGAGATTTGATTCTGGACGTGAACAACATCAGTTTGATCGGAGCCACAAACGAGAGGTGAGACGATCGAGAAAAGTGACGTTTTTATTTTATATTCTATATTTATATATATTCTTATATATATATTTTATTTAAATTTTTTAATTTCCAGAGCGGTGGAGATCCTGAGGAATGCGTCTTTGTCCAATCACATGACTCTGCTGATCTCCAGAGACGACCAGGCCAGGTACAAACAGGTGAACTCTACAAAACCAGGACGGTCCAGACAGATCCAGGTGTGGCTCCTCTGTGATGAGCCACACCTGTGAGTCACTCCTCTGTGATGAGCCACACCTGTGAGTCACTCCTCTGTGATGAGCCACACCTGTGAGTCACTCCTCTGTGAGGAGCCACACCCCATAAAGAGTTTTTAAGACAACTGAAGTGTTTTGAGCAGAGAAAAGGTTTATGATCTAAAAATAATAAATAATAATAAATAATAATATATAAAAATCACAACAAAATCGGACATTTTTGAAAGTTGTCGGCGGGTGTGTGGGGCAGGTGTCGGCGGGTGTCGGCGGGTGTCGGGTGTGGGGCGGGTGTGGGCGGGTGTCGGCGGGTGTGGCGGGTGTCGCGGGTGTCGGCGGTGTGGGGGGGGTGTGGTGGGGGTGTCGGCGGGTGTGGGGCAGGTGTTGGCAGGTGTTGGCGGGTGTGGGGGGGGTGTGGTGGGGGTGTCGGCGGGTGTGGGCAGGTGTTGGCAGGTGTTGGCGGGTGTGGGGGGGGTGTGGGCGGGTGTTGGCGGGTGTCGGCGGGTGTTGGCGGGTGTGGGGGGGTGTGGTGGGGGTGTCGGCGGGTGTGTGGCAGGTGTGGGGGGTGTGCGGGGGGGTGTGGGGCGGGTGTTGGCGGGTGTCGGCGGGTGTGGGGGGGGTGTGGGGCGGGTGTTGGCGGGTGTGGGGGGGTGTTGGCGGTGTGGGGGGGTGTGGGGCGGGTGTTGGCGGGTGTGGGGGGGGTGTGGGGCGGGTGTTGGCGGGTGTGGGGCGGGTGTCGGCGGTGTCGGCGGGTGTCGGCGGGTGTTCTGTGTTTTGCTGTGTCATGGTAGCTCAGGTTGTTGTTTTGCTGAGTCGCTGTGGCTCAGACCTCAATCTGTCACCGAGACTTTGACTCGACTCAGACTGACGTTTGTCCAAGAGGTTTAAGATCAAACTGGACCAGGACTGAACCAGGACTGAACCAGGACTGAACCAGGACTAAACCAGGACTAAACCAGGACTGAACCAGGACTGAGGCCAGGACTAAACCAGGACTAAACCAGGGACTAAACCAGGACTGAACCAGGACTAAACCAGGACTAAACCAGGACTGAACCAGGTCTAAACCAGGACTGAACCAGGACTGAACCAGGAACAGGACTAAACCAGGACTAAACCAGGACTAAACCAGGACTGAACCAGGACTAAACCAGGTCTAAACCAGGACTAAACCAGGACTAAACAGGACCAGGCTAAACCAGGACTAAACCAGGACTAAACCAGGACTGAACCAAACAGGAAACCAGGACTAAACCAGGTCTACTAACCAGGACTAAACCAGGACTAAACCAGGTCTAAACCAGGACTAAACCAGGAGGACTAAACCAGGACTAAACCAGGACTGAACCAGGACTAAACCAGGACTGACTAAACCAGGACTAAACCAGGACTAAACCAGGACTAAACCAGGAACCAGGACTGAACCAGGACTAAACCAGGACTAAACCAGGACTAAACCAGGACTAAACCAGGACTAAACCAGGACTACTGAACCAGGACTGAACCAGGACTAAACCAGGACTAAACCAGGACTAAACCAGGACTAAACCAGGACTGAACCAGGACTAAACCAGGACTAAACCAGGACTAAACCAGGACTAAACCAGGACTAAACCAGGACTGAACCAGGACTAAACCAGGACTAAACCAGGACTAAACCAGGACTAAACCAGGACTAAACCAGGACTAAACCAGGACTAAACAGGACTAAACCAGGACTGAACCAGGACTAACCAGGACTAAACCAGGACTAAACCAGGACTAAACCAGGACTGAACCAGGACTAAACCAGGACTAAACCAGGACTAAACCAGGACTAAACCAGGACTAAACCAGGACTAAACCAGGACTGAACCAGGACTGAACCAGGACTAAACCAGGACTAAACCAGGACTAAAACCAGGACTAAACCAGGACTAAACCAGGTCTAAACCAGGACTAAACCAGGACTGAACCAGGACTAAACCAGGACTGAACCAGGACTGAACCAGGACTGAACCAGGACAAACCAGGACTGAAACCAGGACTGACTAAACCAGGACTAAACCAGGACTAAAAAACCAGGACTAAACCAGGACTAAACCAGGACTAAAACCAGGAACCAGGACTGAACCAGGACTGAACCAGGACTAACCAGGACTAAACCAGGACTAAACCAGGACTGAACCAGACTGAACCAGGACTAAACCAGGACTAAACCAGGACTAAACCAGGACTGAAACCAGGACTAAACCAGGACTAAACCAGGACTAAACCAGGACTAAACCAGGACTAACCAGGACTGAACCAGGACTAACCAGGACTAAACCAGGACTAAAACCAGGACTGAAACCAGGACTAAACCAGGACTAAACCAGGACTAAACCAGGACTAAACCAGGACTCTAAACCAGGACTGAACCAGGGACTAAACCAGGAACCAGGACTAAACCAGGACTAAACCAGGACTAAACCAGGACTGACTAAACCAGGACTAACCAGGCTGAACCAGGACTGAACCAGGACTGAACCAGGACTAAACCAGGAACCAGGACTAAACCAGGACAAACCAGGACTAAACCAGGACTGAACCAGACTGACCAGGACTGAACCAGGACTAAACCAGGACTAAACCAGGACTAAACCAGGACTGAAACCAGGACTAAACCAGGACTAAACCAGGACTAAACCTAGGACTAAACCAGGACTAAACCAGGACAGGACTGAACCAGGACTGAACCAGGACTAAACCAGGACTGAACCAGGACTAAAACCAGGACTGAACCAGGACTAAACCAGGACTAAACCAGGACTAAACCAGGACTAAACCAGGTCTAAACCAGGACTAAACCAGGACTAAACCAGGGACTAAACCAGGACTGACTAAACCAGGACTAAACCAGGACTGAACCAGGACTAAACCAGGACTGAAACCAGGACTAAACCAGGACTAAACCAGGTCTCTAAACCAGGACTGAACCAGGACTAAACCAGGACTGAACCAGGAACCAGGACTAAACCAGGACTAAACCAGGACTAAACCAGGACTAAACCAGGAGGAAAACCAGGACTAAACCAGGACTAAACCAGGGTCTAAACCAGGACTAAACCAGGACTGAACCAGGACTGAACCAGGACTGAACCAGGACTAAACCAGGACTAAACCAGGACTAAACCAGGGTCTAAACCAGGACTAAACCAGGACTGAACTAAACCAGGACTGAACCAGGACTAAACCAGGACTAAACCAGACTAAACCAGGGACTGAACCAGGACTAAACCAGGACTAAACCAGGACTAAACCAGGACTGAACCAGGACTAAACCAGGACTACTGAACCAGGACTAAACCAGGACTAAACCAGGACTGAACCAGGACTAAACCAGGACTAAACCAGGACTAAACCAGGACTGAACCAGGACTGAACCAGACTGAACCAGGACTAAACCAGGACTAAACCAGGACTAAACCAGGACTAAACCAGGACTAAACCAGGACTGAAACCAGGACTGAACCAGGACTGAACCAGGACTGAACCATGAACCAGGACTAAACCAGGTCTAAACCAGGACTAAACCAGGACTAAACCAGGTCTAAACCAGGACTAAACCAGGACTAAAACCAGGACTGAACCAGGACTAAACCAGGACTAAACCAGGACTAAACCAGGACTAAACCAGACTGAACCAGGACTGAACCAGGACTAAACCAGGTAAAACCACTAAAACCAGGACTAAACCAGGTCTAAAAACCAGGACTGAACCAGGACTAAACCAGGACTAAACCAGGACTAAAACCAGGACTAAACCAGGACTAAACCAGGACTGAACCAGGACTGAACCAGGACTAAACCAGGACTAAACCAGGACTAAACCAGGACTAAACCAGGACTAAACCAGGACTAGTTCTCTACAAACATGTTCTGAAATGTCCCAGTGTGTGTGTGTTCTGTTGTAAATTCTGTTGTGTTTGTGTTGTTGTGTTGTTGTGTTGTTGTGTTTGTGTGTTGTTGTGTTGTTGTGTTTGTGTGTGTTTGTGTTGTTGTGTTGTGTGTTGTTGTGTGTTGTGTGTGTTGTTGTGTTTGTGTGTTGTTGTGTGTGTTGTGTTGTTGTGTGTTGTTGTGTTGTTGTGTGTTGTTGTGTTGTGTTGTGTTGTTGTGTTGTTGTGTTGTGTGTTGTGTGTGTTGTTGTGTGTTGTTGTGTTGTTGTGTTGTTGTGTTGTTGTGTTGTTGTGTTGTTCTGTTTGTGTGTTGTGTTTGTGTGTTGTGTGTTGTTGTTGTTGTTGTGTTGTTGTGTTGTTTGTGTTGTGTTGTGTTTGTGTTGTGTGTTGTGTGTTGTGTGTTTGTGTGTTGTTGTGTGTTGTTGTTGTGTTGTTGTGTTGTTGTGTGTTTGTGTTGTTGTTGTGTTTGTTTGTTGTGTTGTTGTGTGTGTGTTGTGTGTTTGTGTGTTGTTTGTGTTGTGTGTGTTGTGTGTTGTTGTGTTGTTGTGTTGTTGTGTTTGTGTGTTGTTGTTGTGTTTGTGTGTTGTTGTGTTTGTGTGTTGTTGTGTGTTGTTGTGTGTGTTGTTTGTGTGTTTGTGTGTGTGTTGTTGTGTTTGTGTGTGTTGTTGTGTGTTGTTGTGTGTGTGTTGTGTGTGTTGTGTGTTGTTGTGTGTGTTGTTGTGTTGTGTGTGTTGTGTGTGTGTTGTGTTGTTGTGTTGTGTGTGTTGTTGTGTGTTGTGTGTTGTTGTGTGTGTTGTGTTGTTGTTGTGTGTTGTTGTGTTGTTGTGTGTTGTGTGTTGTTGTGTTGTGTGTGTTTGTGTGTTGTTTGTGTTTGTGTGTTGTTGTGTGTTGTTGTGTTGTTGTTGTTGTTGTGTTTGTGTGTGTGTGTTGTTGTGTTGTGTGTTTGTGTGTTTTGTGTTTGTTGTGTTGTGTGTGTGTTGTGTTGTGTTGTTCTGTGTTGTGTTGTGTTGTTGTTTGTGTTGTGTTGTTGTGTGTTGTGTTGTTGTGTTGTGTGTTGTGTTTGTTGTTGTTGTGTTGTGTGTTGTGTGTGTGTGTGTGTGTTGTGTGTTGTGTGTTGTGTTGTTTGTGTGTTGTGTGTGTGTGTGTGTGTTGTTGTGTTGTGTGTGTGTGTGTGTTGTGTGTGTGTGTTTGTGTGTTGTTGTGTGTTTGTGTGTGTGTGTGTGTGTGTGTGTGTGTGTGTGTGTGTGTGTGTGTGTTGTGTGTGTTGTGTTGTTGTGTTTGTGTGTGTGTTGTGTGTGTTGTGTGTTGTTGTGTGTGTGTTGTTGTGTGTTGTGTTGTGTGTGTGTTGTTGTTGTGTTGTGTGTTGTGTGTGTTGTGTGTTGTGTGTGTTGTTGTGTGTGTGTTGTTGTTGTGTGTGTTGTGTGTGTTTGTTGTGTGTTGTTGTTTGTGTTGTTGTGTTGTGTGTTGTGTGTGTTGTTGTGTGTGTGTGTTTGTGTGTTGTTGTGTGTTTGTTGTGTTGTGTGTGTGTGTGTGTTGTGTTGTGTGTGTGTTGTGTGTTGTTGTGTGTGTGTGTGTGTGTGTTGTGTGTGTTGTTGTGTTGTGTGTTGTGTGTGTGTGTTGTTGTTGTGTTGTGTTGTTGTGTGTTTGTGTTGTTGTGTTGTTGTTTGTTGTTGTTTGTGTGTGTTTTGTGTGTGTGTTGTGTTTGTGTGTTGTTGTGTTGTTGTGTGTTGTTGTGTTGTGTGTTGTGTTGTGTTTGTGTGTTGTTGTGTTTGTGTGTGTTGTTGTGTTGTTGTGTGTTGTTGTGTGTTTGTCCTTGAGCCTGTGGTGACAGGGAGGATGATGGGAAATGAAGTCCGTCTGAACGAGGCTAAAAATAAACCAGAGAAAATCCGCTCAGTCAAAACATGAAAACATCACAACGACACAAAGACACACAACCTCACCTCTGGAAAACACAGAGAGAAGAGAAGAGAGAGAGAGAGGGATGAGGGGAGGAGAGAGGGAGGAGAGGGAGAGAGGGAGGAGAGAGGGATGAGGGGAGGAGAGAGGGAGGAGAGGGAGAGAGAAGGAGACAAGGAGGGAGAGAGGGATTAGGGGAGGAGAGAGAGAGGAGAGGGAGAGGAAAAAGAGAAGAGGAAAAGCGGTAGGAGGAGAGAGGAAGAAGGGGAGGAGAGAGGGAGAGGAGGAGTAAAAGAGGGATGAGGGGAAGTCAGACGAAGGACAGAGGAATGAAAGAGGGAGAGAGGAGAGGGAAGAAAGAGAGAAGAGGATGAAGAGGGGGAGAGAGGAGAGGAGAGAGGGAGAGGAGGACGAGGGAGGGAGGAGAGAAAGAGAAGAGGAGGGTAGAAAGGGAGGAGAGGAGAAAGCAAGGGAGCGAGCGAGGGAGGGCAAAAGGGAGGGAGAGAAGAGAGGGAGGAGAGAGAAAGAGAAGAGGAGGTGGAGAGAGAAAGAAAGAGAAAAGGAGAGAGGAGAGAGAGACTGGGGGTCAGAGAAGGAGAGGAGAAAAAAAGAGGAGCGAGAGAAAGAGGAGGAGGGAGGAGAAGAAGCAAAAGATGAGGGAGGGAGGAGAGAGTAAGGGATAAAGAGGGAGGGAGAAAGGAAAGGAGAGAAGGAGAATGCGGGAGGAAAGAGGAGAGAGAGGAGAAAAGATGGATGAAGAGAGGGATGAGGGGAGAGAGCGACTCGGGTGAGAGAGGGAGAGAAGAAGCGAAAGAGGAGGGAGAAAAGAGGGAACGTGAGTGAGATAGAGAGAAGGGAGGAGAGCAAAAAGAACAAACAGATACAGGAGGAGGAGAAAAACGAGAGGGATGACTGGAGAAAGAGAAACAGGAAGAGGGAGAGAGAGAGAGAATAGGAGGAAGGGAGGCTACAAGAAAAGGAGAGAGGAAGGAGGAAAGAAAAAGAGAGATGGAGGCAAGAAAAGGCAAGAAAGAGACTAGAGAGAGAGAGAGAGAGAGAGGGGAAAAGATGAGGTGAAAAAAGAGAGATTATGGAGAGAGGAAAGTAACAAAAAAGACAAGAATGAGGAGAGAGAGAAGAGGGGGAGGAACTGAAGAGGAGGGAGAGACAGAGCAGAAAAGAAGAGAAAGAAGAGAAATGAGAGAGGGGTAAAGAAAAGAGAGAGCGATGAGAGAAAGAGAGAAAGAGGAAGGAGGATTGGAGCTGTGGTTCACACAAAGGCCACCAGAGGGCGCCAGACTTCACTCATTTTCACTTCTGTGCAGTTTTATAAAAATAATATCAACGTTTATTTATTTATAAGTATTTTTTATTGTTTAATTTAAAGTTTTACATCATTTTAAACACACAGATTTACATTTGTTCAGTTTTAAACGAACAAAAACGACGTCTCAAATGTTCTTCAATAATTCTGTGATTGTGAACAGAAACGATGATGTTGTTTGTGTTTTATTTCCTGTTTTGTTTCAGGAGGGAGTTTGTGGAGCTGATGGACAAATACAGCTGCAGTCACATGACCCCGAACCCCGCAGGACGCTCCTCCCCTCCGCAGATCTGCTCCGGTAACACCCAAATAAAATCTAAACTAAAAATCACCACAAATCTTCCTTCATCGTTCGTTTCTACGGCAACAGCGTCATGTTTCGTTATTCTCAGACTCATGGAAAGAAACGATAGAATAAAACTCCTTTTTACTTTAGAAAACAAAGTAAAAACATCTCTCCCTCCCCCTGCTGGACGCTTTGAGGATTACATGTTCATGATGACGTCATGTTTAACAAAATTTTCATTCATCATTTGTTTCTGTTCAGATATTTCTGATTTATTTAACTGGTAAAATATTAAAACATGTAAATAATTAGATCAGGGGAGACAAACTCAAATTCACAGAGGCCAAAATTAAAAATTGGGATGAAGTCATGGGCCAAACTAAATATAATAAATATTTATTGAAAAATTTCAACAACATCTGCATGTTTTCTCTTCTGTACAGATCTGTAATATTAAATATTTTCTTATTCAAATATAAGTTTAATCATAGTTTTGCTTCAACATTGAATCCAGAACAAACAGAATATAAAATAATAACAACATTTTAAATAAATCATGTCTCTATAGTCTCTGTGTGCGGCGGCAGCTCTGATACAGATTTGATTTGATCTCATGGACCAAATATAATTATATTATGGGCCAAATTTGGCCCTCGGGCCTGAGTTTGACATCTCTGATTTATAGGTTTAAAGGTATAAAAATATTTAAAGTATGTAACTTTTTGGAGGAGGTAAGTCACCTGCACGATTCCATGGAAATAAAAAGTTAAAGCCACACGTCGGAACATTCTCCATAGAGATTTAACTCAGTTTTAATGTCGTACTGTGAAGATTATAAAAGGAAGAACGTTTCCATGGAAACAAGAAGAATTTTTAGAGGTTTTCTGTGTTTTTCAGTCCAATAAAAACATCCACCATGAAAAAACAAACCAACAGCATTTTGGTTAAAATGTCACGTACTGTGGCTTTAATTAAACCAGATCTTCTTCTCTTCCAGTTTCCAAAGTGACGAACAGCTCCTCGTCTTCATCCAGATCAGAGTCTCCACAACTGCTCAGCCCCAACACCTCAGTGTTCAGGTAAGACCTGCTCCGGACGGTCCCGGTCCGGTCCCGGTCCGGTCCCGGTCCGGTCCCGGTCCCGGTCCAGTCCTGGTTCAGTTCTGGTTCTGTGCAGTGACAGTGTGATCCAGCTCGTCTGTGTGTCCAAATCCTTCGGTCTGGGTTTGGTCATCGGGGGCGGAGCCAACAGACTCGACGGACCAATGGTGTTCATCCAGGAAGTGTTGCCGGGCGGAGACTGTCACAAGGTACGACCCGTCTACTCCACCCAGGTCCTGACCGGGACCATAACCAGATCTGAGACCAGGATCCTGGCTCAGATGCAGAGGTGATGTTCAAGTTCCTGTTTCGAGGCGACATTTTGACTGTTCCAGAGATAAAGTGTTTAGTTTTAAACTGATATTGTTGCTCATGGACCAATGAGGTGGTGTTTCCTCTGTCTCCTCAGGACGGTCGGCTGCAGGTGGGAGATCAGCTGGTGTCCGTCAACAAAGAGTCTCTGATCGGAGTCACGTTTGAAGAAGCCAAGAACATCCTGTCCAGAACCAAGAGCAGGTAAAGCCAGATGCCCTCCCACCGTCCTGTACCTCCTGAGACGTGTTTGAGCAGCGAGTCGTCCTCAGAGTCGACTCCAGTCTGGAAGGTCTGGGAAAGTCTGGAAAGGTCTGGAAGGTCTGGAAGGTCTGGAAGGTCTGGGAAGGTCTGGGAAGGTCTGGAAGGTCTGGGAAGGTCTGGAAGGTCTGGAAGGTCTGGAAGGTCTGGGAAGGTCTGGGAAGGTCTGGAAGGTCTGGAAGGTCTGGAAGGTCTGGGAAAGTCTGGAAAGGTCTGTGAAGGTCTGGAAGGTCTGGGAAGGTCTGGAAGGTCTGGAAGGTCTGGGAAAGTCTGGGAAGGTCTGGAAGGTCTGGGAAGGTCTGGAAGGTCTGGGAAGGTCTGGGAAGGTCTGGTCTATGTCCTAAAACAAAGCAAGAGAAAGCAGAACAATCAAATAAACTGTGTCAGATGCCCTCCCACCCTCTCCTCTCCTCTCCTCTTTCAGACCAGACCCGACAGTAGAAATCGCGTTCATCCGTCGTCGCTGCTCTTCGGGCTCCAGCAGCGGCCCCCACAGCCCCGTGTCCTCTGCCTGCGCCGGGGCTCCGGGGCTGGGCGCGGGGTCTGGAGGTCCTGGAGGGTCTGGAGGTCCTGGAGGGTCTGGAGGTCCTGGAGGGTCTGGAGGTTCTGGACGTACAGGGGGTTCTCCGGGAGCTCTACCCCAGAACAGGGCCCTCTCCCTGGGACAGACTCAGGCTCAGACTCCCTGTCCTCAGACTCCGGTCCTCAACAAGATCAACAGGAACCTGAACTCTGACACACTTCCAGAGGTCAACATCA